CAGATGAGGAAACTGAGGCTTAGAGAGAGGAATAACTTAGAATCAAGGCTTAATGTTTTCCCCCCACTTTAAACTTTTTATTTTCATGATGGTGAGTATGTGAGGCACTGGGCAATGGAGGGGAGAGAACTCATTTTGTTTCTAGCCTTTGACGACTCCTGTGATTCTTACCTTGAAGTTTAAGTGAAATCCAGGCGGCAATTACTGAGCCCACAGCAGACAGTCTGTGCACAAGACTTTGTGTGGCTTTGCGTTTCTAAGAACTGTGCTGCAGAAAACACAGACAGACCTTTGGGAAGGTTGCCCTGTCCCCCACACCTCCATGGAGGCGCTCCCTCAGGGACTGTGGATAACCAGCTAGAATGTTAGTGGGTGTAGAGGGCTGTTCTCCCCTCAGGTTGGCAGGAGTTTGCGATTTCACATCTCCCAGCTTATGCTTACAAGGGGTCTTGTGCCATGTTCCTCAGAGCTGAACCTCTATCTAGTGTGGGCAACCTGGGAAGATTTGGCCCTCCAGGAGACATTTGGCAGTGTCTGGAAACATTTTTGATTGTCATGATTCGGGGATGTGCTACTATTGGCATCTAGTGGGTTGAGGCCAGGAATGTCATTGAGCATCCTACAACGCCCAGGACAGCCCCTCATAACAGAGAATTGGCTACCCAAATGTCAGTAGTACCAAGGCTGAGAAGTCCTGGTCTAGTACACGTCCATCCTCCATCGTGTACTGCACGAGGACTATTGTGTTTGCACTTTGAACTGGTTACCCTGTCACAGGCATGAAAACTTGACACATGAGGCAAGGCCATAGGCAGGGAGTCCAGCTTCCTTTTGGAAATTCATAAATGCTTAGAGAACTCCATATAAATCAGTCAAACATACTGATAGATAGTGGTTTGCTTTTAAAACTGCAATACCACATACTACTTTGTTTAAAAAAAAATAGAAGCTAAAGGAATAAGAAAATTTTATATGAAATTTCATTCATTTAACAGAGATTTTTCAAGTGCCCACCATGTGCCAGACACTGTTCTAGAGACTAGTGATATAATATTGAACAAAAAGAAGGGAAAGTCTCTGCCCTCGAGGAGCTTCCATTCCATTGGACAGGACAGACATTGAATAAAATAAATATGTAAAATAGGTAATGAGCGAGATGGAAAAATAAAGCTATGGAGCAGATAAAGCAGCGAGGGTGGATAGTGCTGGGGTCCACGGGGAGGGGCCTGCAGTTTTAAATAGCTTGTTCTGAAATGCCAGTGGGATGGCCCCATCAGCCAATGAGAGAAACTATTTTATGCAGTTCCAATTCTTTACAAACATGTCTCTTTATCCTTTTTCTATTTCAGAACAACAAAGTCAGGCGTTTTGCTTTTGAGCTCAAGATGCAGGACAAAAGTACTTATCTTCTGGCAGCAGACAGTGAAGTGGAAATGGAAGAATGGATCACAACTCTAAATAAGATTCTCCAGCTCAACTTTGAAGCTGCCATGCAAGAAAAGCGAAACGGAGACTCTCACGAAGGTGGTTAGGTTTGGCTTTCCCCAGACGCACACACGTTCTGTGGGGGTCTTTGTTCTCACCAGGCGGGTATAGGAAGGAGACCTGTATTGCATAAGTACATGAGAAATGGGGCAGATATGAGATCTTTATAGGTAGCCTGCCAGCAAAGATTTTGTCACATTAGAATTTGCCTCCCTAACATTTTTTATGTGGACATCGTGTAATGGGAGAAGCCACAGCTTTGGATGCAGAGAGAAAGATCTGGGTTTGAGTCCCCTACATACCATTTTTCAGCTGTGTAGCCTTGGGCAAACTACTCATGTTTTCTCAGGCACCATTTATTCACCTATAAAATAGGAATAAAAACAAAACTTGCTGGTCAGATGGGAAGAGTAAATAAGTAAATGTTATTTTAAGTACCTGGCATAGAATTTGCAATGTGTTGTAAAACATTAGTTGGTAATGGTTATTATCATTAATAAGATCCTTCCAAATTTTTAAGACAAAGTTAGAACGGGCGAGAGCCTCAGATTAAATTGGTGAGAAAAATCTGGCTGTGTTATTGACAATTCATGTTATAGTTCAAGCCTTTAGGTAGTTGCCCAACCCTAGCTGCCCCCTAGAAGTGCCTGGGAGCTTTTTGAAAATACTGTTTCCTTGGTCCCACCAAAGGTTCTGATTTAGTTGGCCTTGGGTAGGGCCTGGGCAGGTCTGACTTTTGATGGATGTGTTCCTGTGAGCTGTTGTTCATAGCTAGTATCAGTTCAGTTAGATAGTGCACATGCTGTACCAGCTGTTAAATGTCTGATGCTCACCACTGGGCCTGGGCACCAGTATTTTTTCAAAGCCCCCCACCCCTCACCCCCAGGTGTTTCCTGTGTGTCCAGAGTTAAGGACCACTTTGTTCAAGGGCACCTAAGAGAGATGGCCTTCCTCCTCCTGTTTTAAATAAAATACTTTGAATTACAAGTGACCCAGATAATCTGTTTTGCCATTTTAGATGATGAACAAAGCAAATTGGAAGGCTCTGGTTCCGGTTTAGATAGCTACCTGCCTGAACTTGTCAAGGTAAGATCATCTTAAATCTGCTCTTCATTGAATACTATTAAAATACTTCTCATGTCATGAGTTTGTCCAGAATGGAATCTGTTAAAATCATAACGATTATGTTGTGATTACCAATCTCTGTTTTCTGACTGGAGCATGAGGTTACATGAAGTATGGTACTGCCCTGAGTTGAGACTTCA